GCCTCTCTGTAACTTTGCCTTTCAAATAAATAAATAAATCTTAAAAAATATCTTGTTACAAAGAAATTTTATGTTGAGCAAAAATGATGTACGAGAGATGTAATACTTTTCATTGTAAATACGTCATTCAGCGGGCCAGCACTGTGGCATCCCATATGGCCACTGGTTCAAGTCCCAGCTGCTCCATTTCTGATCCAGCTCTCTGTTATGACCTGGGAAAACAGTAGAGGATAACCCAAGTCCTTGGGCCCCTGCACCCATGTGGGAGACCCGGAAAAATCTAGCTCCTAGCTTTGGATCAGCCCAGCTCTAGCTGTTGCACCCATTTGGGGAGTGAACCAGCAGATGAAGATTTCTCTCTCACTTTCTCAGCTTCTGCCTCTCTGCCTCTGCCTTTCAAATAAATAAGTAAATCTTAATTAAAAAAAAAAAAAGCCATTCATACCACACTGAGGACATTATGTAGACTTTATCTGGGGATGGAAAACATTTTCTTTTTCATGTCATACCTATCAAAATAACTTCCTGTTCTATTTTGATATAATTGTACTTGTATTATTTTTCAAGGACAGCCATAACATCTATACAAGGCACGTGGATTAAACACTGGTTTATTTACACTTAGTTCTGGTGCCTAGGAAGCCAAGATGCAGGTGTCACCAAAAATGACTTCTACTAAGGTCTCTTCCTTGATTTGAAAATCACTGTCTTCACAGGGTGTCCTCATATTGCCAGTCCTGTCTTTTGAGCCTGCATAAGTCTGAGATGTCATTTCTTCTAAGGATATCAGTCATATTGGATTAGCTCCCACCCATTCAACCTCCTTTGACCTGAATTATCTCAGTCAGAATCTTATCTTCAAATGCTGTCACATTCTGTGGCATTTGACTTCAACCCATCAACCTAAGACACTCTTTTTGTATCCTTGTAGTTTCTTTTTTTGTGTTCTTTAAAATATGGTAGTTCTATGTCACTGCCATTTTTTTTCCAGTGAAAGTCAGTTTACTGAGTGAGTGAGAAGGAAGAAGAAGGCTCTCTGACTGCCTGGAGACCAGCAGTGCAGAGCTGGGAGTTGTTGCCCCCAAAGTACTGGTCTCTTGTCAAGTTATTTTCTGCTCCCTTTTAGCCAGCCCGCCCTTTGATCCCACTATTGAGTGCTAGCTTGATTAAGCCTGTCAATCCTGTTAATCTCCCTTTAAAGATAAAGAATTTGACCTTCAAGTCTGCTAGATGGGACAAAGCTAAAGTTCTCTTGTATTATTTTCTTGATTTCATCCACTTGTGGTCCCATGGCTGGAATGACTCGTGCTCATGCACTTAGCCCATGCCTGCTGGGTAACTCCCCATCTGACATGTGGCATTCCTGCTCAGGAGAGAGGCCCTCAATGGGTGCATGGCGCTGACCTCAGGTGGGGGGTTTTGACCCTTTGTGCCAGGACAGCCAGGTGCCTGGCAAGGAAAAGGAAGGCTGCAGCGAGGATGGGCGTGTATTGGGGAAGAGCAGCCAGCTGCCTGCCTCAGTGACAACCGGGCCCCATTCAGACTCTGGGAATGAGGCAGACAGCATACATTTCCATTACCTTGACCAATACAATGTACAGGACAAGCAATGAATGCTAAAAAAAAAAGCTGCAGGGGATGGGATCAACTCTGATGTTGGGTCCTGTTAACAGTGAATAACTTAGCACATAAAACACTGGGTCTTTGTATAAGCCCAACATAGTTTGCCATCATTTTATAACCTCACACTACATTTCACATAATTTATGCTGAACAACTATTACTTTGCCGAGTTGAGTGCCTCATCCTTTAAGAGTTCCAGGAATCTGAGTGGAAGCCTCAAAGTCAGAAGAATGTGTTTATAATTCTAAATCGACTGCTTTCCCAAGCACATTGACAGGGAGCTCAATCGGAAGTGGAGCAGCCAGGACTTGAACTGGCACCCATATGGGATGCCAGCACTGCAGGTGGTGGCTTGGCCTGCTATGCCACAGTATCAGCCCCTAATTCTAAATCTAAAGCATTGTCAGAGGTTCAAAACATTTCATCAAAATAAAAATAGGTTGACATTGTATATTTAACCTGAGTACTTTAACCAAAGCTGTGGGCCAGATCTAATAAAAATTTAGTCACTCAATAATCAAAAAGATGGAGCTGGGAAAAGCTGCTAGCATTCCACATGGACACCACTTCGAGTTGCTGCTGCTCCAGTTCAGATCCAGCTCCCTGTTAATATGCCCGAGAAGCCAGGAGAATATGGCCCCAAAGGTTGGGCCCCTGCACCCACATGGGAGATCTGGAGAAGCTCCTGACTCCTGGCTTCAGCCTGGCCCAGCCCTGGCCATTGCAGCCATTTGGGGAGTGAACCAGCTGATAGAAGATTCTCTCTCCCTTCTCTCTCTTTCTTTCTCTCTCTCTATGTAACTGTTATTTTCAAATAAATAAATAAATAAATACATTTTTTTAAAAGTCATCAGAAAGAGGAAGATAATATTAACTCTTCTAGAGGCCAGTGCTGTGGCGCAGCGGGTTAAAGCCCTGGCCTGATGCGCCTGCATCCCATATGGGCGCTGGTTCTAGTCCCAGCTGCTCCTCTTCCAATCCAGCTCTCTGCTATGGCCTGGGAAAGCAGTAGAAGATGGCCCAAGTCCTTGGGCCCCTGCACCCATGTGGGAGACCCAGAAGAAGCTCCCAGCTTTAGCTTTGCCCTATATAGCAGACTTGTAGGTCAAATTCTATAGCTCAGCATAATAGTTCCATTTTCAACATCCAGGTCTTTTGCATATAATGAAATCACAGAGCCTCAGAGAAAGGGACTGAAGAAAATTAAGTCGTTAAGAAGTGGGAGGCTGGGGGCCAGCGCTCTGGTATAACGGGTTAATCCACTGCCTGCAGCTCTGGCATCCCATGTGGGCAGCGGTTTCAGTCCAGGCTGCTCTACTTCCACTGCAGCTCCCCGATATTGGCCTGGAGAAAGCAGCAGAGAATGGCCCAATGCTTGGGTCCCTGCAACCATGAGGGAGACCTGGAAGAAATTCTTGGCTCATGGCTTTGGCCTGGCCCAGCCCCAGCAACTGTAACCACTTAGGGCTTGAACCAGCATATATGGATGACTTTTCTTGTTCCCTCTCTGTAACTCTGCCCTTTAAATGTTAGAAAATAAATCATAAAAAGTGGGAGGCAGGATACTGCACCAAGGTCTGACCATACTATTTCTTCTCTTGCCATGTTTTCAGATTTATTTATTTGTTTATTTACTGCAAAGGCTGAGAGAAAGAGAGCAACACGGAAAGGTCGCCCATCTGTTGCTTCACTCCAAAAATAGATGGGAAGGAAGTCTGGAGCCTGGAATTCCACCTTGGGGTCTCCCAAATAGGAGACCCAGGGACCCAGGACTTGGGCTGACTCCCACTGCTTTTCCTCATGCAGAAGCAGCGAGCTGGTTCTGAAGCAGAGCAGCTGGGATTCTTACCTGCACTCTGATATGGGATGCAGGCAGCAGCCTAACTGGCTGCGCCATCAGACCAGCCCTATTACAACATGATTTTTTTTCTTAAGATTTTATTTATTTATTTGAGAGGTAGAGTTACAGACAGTGAGAGGGAGAGACAAACAGAAAGGTCTTCCTTCCGTTGGTTCACTCCTCAGATGGTCACAACGGCCGGAGCTGCGCCGATCTGAAGCCAGGAGCCAGGAGCTTCTTCCAGTCTCCCACGCAGGTGCAGGGGCCCAAGGACTTGGGTTATCCTCTACTGTTTTCCCAGATCATAGCAGAGAGCTGGTCTGGAAGAAGAGCAGCTGGGACTAGAACTGGCGCCCATACAGGATGCCAGCGCCTCAAGCAGAGGATTAACCTACTGTGCCATGGCGCCGGCCCCTCCCGGGTGCCCACCGGGAGGCTGCTGTTGAGTGTCCTCAGGCAGTTTCTCAAAGACTGTCCACCAGACCCACGGACTGTTAAACCTTAGGTTTCACGTGTTGTTTGGTCACATCAAATAGTCACAGGTTTGAAAAGCAAGTGATGGCAGAGGATCAAGGTCAATCTTCCACATGCTCTATGCTGTCAGCCAGGTTTGGAAGAGCCTGCTCTGTGTCACACTGTGTGTATCCACACATTCCCACAGGCAGCTTCCACATCTAGGGGGTTTCATAGTGACCTCATGGCCTTCCAGAAATCAGTGTGTGTGCACGTCCCACAGACACACATCTGTTGACCCGGAGATGGCTATTTGTACATGCAGTGTGCTGTGGCATTTGAATACCAGGGTAACATTTCCGAGAAGTTACTGGGTAAGAGAAGGAACCTCAGAACCATAACCTGGAAAAATGAAGATTCACCTATGGATTCAGGAAGAATATCAGTAGAGGATTCTAATCAGAGCAGGCCAGACCACCAAGCAGGAAAACCATATAGGCCCATATTGCTTGGGGGCAAGCTCACGAGAGGGCGGAGCACTTGGTTAGCACATGAGCAGCTAACCACCAACAGAGGGGCCTGTGCCACAGGTGGGGCACAGGGCGGTTCCAAGGAACCTAAAGCTGAAACACGGGCTGCCTTCCACAGAGTCGTTCCAGGCGACTGCGCTCTTTCCAGGCAGCAAGACCATTGCTGGTAGGTTGGGGAGCTGGTGAACAGGGAGGTGGGGCAGATGCGATGCTGGGGAAGAGGTAGCGAGGGTCGCCCTGGGTGAGAGAAGAGGACAGATGTTGAATGCGGTGCACCATGGGAACAAGGTGGGAGCCCGTGTGCTGAGTGCCCAGGACTGGGAGCGGGATCCCCCTGTGCTGAGGGGAGAGTTGACTTGGTCCAGTGGTGAAGGAAGGCAAGGCAGTGGCTGGATGGAAAGCCAGCTGGGGCTAAGGCCGAGAACCAGGCCTTTTGTGGTGGCCCCACTGCACTTTGCAGCTGCAAGAGCTTGATGTGGCCGGATTCCGTGCCTGTGGCCTACAGGCTGGGGATTTTGAAGGGGGTGCTTAGCATGACTCTTCCACCTCGGCAGGGATTTCAGCCAGCGCGGAGTGACAGTTCTTTCCAAAGCACACGGCGTTGGGATCTCAGTGAGTTCGATTTTCAAAGTGGACCACGAAGAGCTTTCTGGCAGCGAAGCCACACCCATGTCTACCTTTCTGAATCCAGTCAACAAGCCATTCAGCCTTGCTGGGGCAGGTAAGGAATCTCCACACATTCAATGGGATCACAGGCCCTCCCTGTAATCCATGCCTGGGCATTTTCTTTTTGAAGTTAGGCTTTGAAAAGATTAACTGAAAGGCACAGAGATAAACGAAGGCTGGAGAGACAGCTCCACTCCCCAGATAGCCACAAGAAGCAAAGAGCCTAGAACAGTATCCCGGTCTCCCACGTGGGAGGCAGGGGCCTAAGCACTGGGCCATCTTGCCCTATGCATGAATGGACAGGAATAATTAGGTTTAGAAAAAGGCTTTAATAGGGTTCGATGCTGTTGCAGAGTGGATTGGCTGCCACGTGCAAAGCCAGCATGCAGCATCAATTGTCAATCCAGCGTTTCTGCTCATGGCCCGAGGAGGGTAGTGGAGATGGTCCAAGTACTTGGACCTGTACAGAGTTCCTGGACTAGTCCTCCAGGCTTGTGACCATGTGGGGAGTGAACCAGGGGATGGATGACGTCTCTTACTGTCCTTCTCACTGATGCCCTGCCAAATTAAAGGCTGGGATAGCCAAAGAACATTCCCCCTGGGCTCTGTAAGGTGTGACCAGAATACTTCGTGGGGTTCTGACAGCCATGAACTGTCCCTAGTGCTCTCTTGGCATCAGTCAGAATGAATCTGCTACAGAGCTCCAGGCACCTTTGTGCAGCCACTGCTCAGTGACGGCCCCACTGTTTGCATTCCTGTATCTAGGAAGAAGCAGAGAGGATGCTGATGTGGTGGAGCCATGTGATAAGAAGCTGTTTGAAGATGAGTTGGCCAGTGTGGAGGCTGAGCGTGATGAAGAGGAGGCCAGTGTGCCGGGGAGGCCAAGTGTACAGGAGGAGTCACAAGTGGAAAGCAATGGATCTGAGGGTGGAGGGTTGAACATGGAGGAGGCTGATGCACAGGCAGAGGCATCTGCGGAAGGAGAACCTTGTGAAGAAGGGCAGTGGGAGCTGTCTGAGGATCTGGAGGAGGGGTTCGAAGAAGAGGAGGCCGAGAATTTAGACTCTGAGTTTCAGGAAGTGAGCTGGCCCAAGTGGCAAAGGAGCTATAGGGTGGCAGAAACTTATGGCAAGTATTTTCCTTATCTCCTCCGGGAGGCAATTGGCAGAGTCAAAGTTCACAGAGAACTGCAGTGTGAGTTGGAAAAGGAATACATCTGCACATGTCCTGAAATTGAGGTCCCGGAGAAGAGGCAGAAGGTGCGCGATATGGATAGTTCTTCTTCTTCTTCTTCTTCTTCTGAGGAGGAGGAAGAGGAAGAGAAGGAACAGAAAGAGGAGGAGAAAGAAGAGGAGGAGGAGAAAGAGGAGGAGGAGGAGGAGGAAGAGCAGGAGGAGGAGGAGAAAGAGGAGGAGGAGGAGTTGGAGAAGGTGATAGAGAAGGAGGGTCGCTGCTCTGTAGTAAAGGATGTATATGAACAGGACTTTTATGAAAGAAGAGCCATTTTTTATACAAACAGAGTGTGTCCCCCACTTGAGTTAATAGTTCGGATGGGGTGGCATAGAGCCAAGGTGGACCAGGCGACTCAGTGTGAAAGCAGCTGGGAGGATGAGGAAGTTGAGTCCAGGGCCATCTCGGGACCGGAAGGGGCAGTGCAGGATCCGCAGGAGCTGAGGCAGGAGGGAGCTGGGGTGCCCAGGGACAGGGGGTTCTTTTACCCACGTCCCATACCAGAAGACGCCTATTCAGATATCTTCGAGTGGGCCTTTAGGGAAGTCAAAGAGGATGTGGGAATCCAATGCGATATGAGCGTGGTGGAGCCTCATCCGGTCACCTGTAAAGTGTGCGGAGGTCGGCAGGACTGGAGGTGGGAGGAGGAAGACTCGGAATCAGAAATAGACCCGTGGGAGCGGAGGCAGTTGGAAGCTTTGATGAGGGAACTGACCCGGGTGGAGGTTAGTGATGGCTATGATGATCTATACTATTAGCTGGGATGAGGGAGGCAGCTAGATGAGGGTCCCAAGCTGGACACCACAGACCCAAGCCATGCTATCACGTTATTTGATCCGCCCACTTGTCAATCAAACCGCCCACTTCACAGTATGGATTTTCCATCACCTGGTATCTGGGAGTGGAGGTGCCATATAGCCAGAGCTCTTCCAACCTCCTGAAACAGAGGTCCCCTTCTCTGGCAGGCCAGAACGAGGTGCTGAAGGTGCCCTCTCTTCATTTCCTCTCTCCCACTCCGTTTCTGACCTACGCCCATGTGTTTGTACCTTCACTGTTTTAAGAAACTTGACCACGTTCCGCACCATGTATGTACTGGCTCTTAAACTGCTTCTCTTTGACACTTTCCTCACTTCAGTAGGTTTAGGATTAACTGTGGGATCGGGAGAATGAGCCTTTAGAGCCAGAAGCCAAAGCTGAGGTTCCCTGGGCCAACCCCGGGACCCCATAGCTGACGCCGTGGCACCTGTGGTCAATGCAGGTGAAATACTCAATAGTGATTTAATCTGCACCCCAGCCTCCCAATAATTCAGTTCCTCCCTGGCTGGCCCAGTCAAGTCTGCTGGGGCAAGGAATCAGTGGAGACAGTGACGGGTCACGAGGACGCCACTGAAAAGGTACCCAAGAGGAAGAAGTGGGTGCATGAAGAGCCCGACCAAGAGAGAATGACCTTGGGTGTCTGAGGTCCATAACTGGAAGTCCAGGCCCACATCCTGTCTACAGAAGGTCATGGGTGTGGATTCCGAGGCAACAATCTGAATTGGAGGATGACCCCTAGGAATGTCCAGCTGACCCCTGGGGGCCAGGAATAAACGCTGAAGATGAGGACTGTCGTGATCAGCCACTCCCTCTCCTGAGGGTCGCATCTCTGGACAGTGCTGAGAATTCCCAGCCCTGATGCCAAAGACGCTCCTCTCGCGGGTATTTGTCCTGTTACTCTCAGATGTCAACTCCCTCTGTCCTTTGGCCACAGTGTTTGTTGTTGAAGAGACTGAACAAGTCAAGGTCTTTTCACCCAGACTCTTAACTCATTTGATTTGGAAAACTCATGCTTCCCATTTGTTATTTTCCTTTTGTCATTTTTCTTTTTCTTGTGTTTGACATTTTGAGGAACCGGGGCTGCTCTCCTGTTTAACTGCCTTAGTTGCCATATCCCAAACATGACAATAAAAATGTATGGTATGAAAAAAGCATGCATGGATTTCAAAATTTTTGTATGCAAACATACTAATACTGTGGTATAATATGTGAACATGATCTAGTTTAATATACTACAGAGGGTAAGACACCAATATGAATACTGTTAAGTGAAACATGAACAAGTACCAGTTTTCTGGCAAAGATGAGGTAGATTAGGGACACTACTGATGAATTACAAGAGATTTATAAGACAATGGTAAGTGGTTGAAATGTGTTTATCCCATACCAGAGTCTTTGGGTCCAATTCCCCACTCCAACCCCTGAGCCTCTACTGTAGTAGGAAAATGCCCACGGAAGCTTCATCAGAGACTTCGGCACCATTACAATGCTTCGGCTGATTCTTCTCATTAAACAAGAGAGATTTGCAAGCTTTACTGGGAAATCATTAGGCAACCAATCAAAGTCCAGATTTGGATCCCTGTGCCTTCTTTCACTTATTTCTCAAAAAAATCTTTAAACAGTGTTCATTTTTCTTCAGTTAATACTAAAAAGTCTATACTGACATAATATAGCCTAGAACCCTCACTTTTATTTTGAAAGATTTATTTATCTGAAAGGCAGAGTTACAGAGAGGCAGAGAGAGAGAGGTCTTCTCTCTGCTGGTTCACTCCCCAGATGGCCACAACAGCCAGAACAGTGGGGATCCGAAGCCAGGAGCCAGGAGCTTCTTCTGGGTCTCCCACGCAGGTGCAGGGGTCCAAGGACCCAGGCCATAGCAGAGAACTGGATTGGAATTGGAGCAGCCGGGACTCAAACCAGAGCTCATGGGATACTGGCACTGCAGGTGGCAGCTTTACCTGTCATGCCACAGTGCTGGCCCCTTGGACCATCACTTATTTAGAGATAGACTAAAGAGCTGCTATCAGATATGTTGAGAAAATGTTTGGGTTTTTTTTTCCTTGATTTTAATTTCACATGATTTTTTAAAAAATTTATTTATTCAAAATTCAGAGTTACAGACAGATCTATCTGTTGGTTCACTCCCCAGATAGCCGCAATGATCACGGCTAGGCCAGGTCAAAGTCAGAAGCCAGGAGCTTTTTCTGGGTCTCCCACATTGGTGGCAGGGGCTCAACCACTTGGGCCATCTGCCATTGCTTCCCCCAGGCCATTTGCAGGTAGCTGGATGGGAAGTGGAACAGCTGGGACACAAAACTGGTGCTCACATGGCATGCTGGCAAAACAGGCAGTGGCTTTATCTGCTACACCAAAATGCAGAGTGACCTGGGGGGGTGGAGATGGCCCTCTTCTCTTTTTAAATATTTATTTATTTGAAATTCAGAATGACAAAGGCAGTCAGAGCCCCTCCATCTGCTGGTTCTCTCCCCAAATGGCTGCATGCGTGAGAGCAACAGAGGGCTGAACTTTAATAACTGAGCCACCCATGACAGAGCCAAGCCACTCATGAGAGCAGAGCCCTCAGCACATGTCTTTTTATTTGAAAGTCAGAGTTACACACAGCGAGAGTCTTCCATCCACTGGTTCACTCCCCAATTGGCTGCAACAGCCAGAGCTGCGCCGATCAGAAGCCAGGAGCCAGGAGCTTCTTCCCAGTCTCCCACACAGGTGCAGGGGCTCAAGGACTTGGGCTATCTTCTACTGCGTTCCCAGGCCATAGCAGAGAGCTGGATCAGAAGTGGAGCAGCCGGGACTAGAATCGGCACCCGTATGGGATGCCGGCGCTTCAGGCCATGGCTTTAACCCGCTGCACCACAGCGCCTGCCCCAGCTCCTGTCATTCTTACTAGGCCCCACTTCCAACACTGTTGCCCCGGAATTCACATCTCCAACACATAGACTCTGTTCTCCAGTTCTTAGGCAAGCACTTCAGAACAAAGTAAATACTGGGGCTGTTAGGGATTATGGACTCAGAGGAAAATGAAATACCTTTCTTCCTACCTATCTCCAAAGTGCAGGAGCAAAGAAATTTATGGAATCGCGGGTTAAGCCACGCGCTGCAAGGCCAGCATCCCAAATGGGAGCAACAGTTTTGAGTCCCGGCTACCCGGTTCAGATCCAGCTTCCCGATAAGGCACCAGAGAAGGCAGCAGAAGATGGCTCAAGTATGCGGATCCCTGACACCCATCTGAGAGACCTGGAAGGGGTTCCAGGCTCCTGGCTTCATGTATGAAGTGCTCAGGTGAACTTACTCGGTCCCCAAACACTGAGGAGCGCCCAAGAACACTCAGCTCCTCACAGCCACGGACCCAACGCCCAAGTCGCAGCGCCAGGACTCCAAGCCGTCGCCCCCATACTCGCGTTTGTCCGGAGGATACGGCCTGCGCTGCCCTCTCCAGGCCGTGGCCAGGACCTCCGGCCCAGGAAGGACTGCAAGTCCAAGGCCTGAGACGCCCCGCACCAGTCGCCGGGCCGGAATCCAGGTGGGCAGCCGGGCCCAGGCCCCGTGGTCCCTGGCGGGGGACTCACAAGGACTCCGGGTGCTTGGGCGGCTGCAGCTGCTGCGAGTCGTGCCGCCGCCACTTCTGCTCCCGGCGCCGCTGCATTTCCCGCCGGAACTCCGCATCCCGCCCCAGCCGGCGCCGCTGTCACCGCCGACACCGCCTCCCCGCGGCCGGGCCCCGCCGCCAGGCCCGCGGGTGCCCCCTGGCGGCGGCCTCGGGCCTCGGGGGAGCCGGGCTGCTTCTCAGGGCGCGGGACCAGGGCTCAGGGACCACAGTTGCCTCTGTGAGGAGACACAAGCGAGGTGTTCATGACGCGTGAGGAAGAAGGCCAGACCCTGCCAATGCAAGCTTCCGTTTTCCAGAGCATGGGACCCGAGGTTCAAACATAGAGTATGTTGTATTCTCCGAGGTTTGGGTGGGGGATCTGAAATGAAAAGTGAACCTACAGTGAGCACGTGTGCGTCACCACTGAGCCATTCTCTCAGTAAGAACTAATTCAATCCTCCAGAACGTCAGGGCGGATACTATCCTTATTTTATACACAGAGAGGGAAGTGGCCCAGAGAAGTGAGTGGCAGGACTCCGAGGGCAGAACGGTGAAGGCCGGGGGGCAGGGTATAAAGGTGTCAGGAGCTTAACTAGGATGCATTCTGAAAATTTATCTGTGACGTGGAATTATGGTCACTGTTGAACTCTGGCATAATGCAGTAATCCGCAAAGGAAGGACAAACAACTCGGGAAATGTTTGCCTCAAATGTGGCATTCAGGGCCCAGTGTTGTGGCTGCGCCCTAGCAGGTCAAGCCACTGCCTGCATCCCATAAGGACACTGGTTTGAGTCCCGGCTGCTCCACTTCCCATCCGGCTCCCTCCCAACGCTCCTGGGAAAGCAGCAGAAAATGGCCCAGTTCCTGGGCCCCTGCAGCCATGTGGGAGCCCCGATGAAACTCCTGGCTCCTGGCTTAGGCCTGGCCCAGCCCTGGCTGTTGCAGCTGTTTGGGGAGTGAACCAGCAGATGGAAAATCTCTGGTCTCCCCTCTCTCTGTAACTCTGCCTTTCAAATACATGAACACATCTTTATTTTAAAGAAAGTGGCATTCACTATGGTTAAGACCTACAATATGCAAGAGGAGCTGTTTTAAATTTATCATAGAAAAATGCAAAGGGACACACAACAGCTATGAAGAGGTATCTAAGTTCCACTGCTGTGTCCCAGAACGAGGAAGCCAGGATTCCCTGAGAGAAAATTGGTGCAAGAACCAGTCCAGTCATCACTGGAAATTTCCTGGGCCAACAAGCAGCTTGGAAATGCCTTGAAAGGTATGCCTTGGCATTCTGGTCACAAACCATCTATTGTGGAGCTCTTTATTCCATTGGTCTAACGTCTCTGTTTACATCATTACCATACTGTCTTGATGGCTGGAGATCTGTAGTGAGTTTTTAAATCACATACTGTGCTACTTCTAGCTCTGCTCTTTTTTAAGATTGTCTTTGGCTGTTTGTATCCCTTAAGATACCAGCAACTGGCCAATGCCGTGGCTCACTAGGCTGATCCTCCGCCTGTGGCGCCGGCACACCGGGTTCTAGTCCCGGTCAGGGTGCCGGATTCTGTCCCGGTTGCTCCTCTTCCAGTCCAGCTCTCTGCTATGGCCCAGGAGGGCAGTGGAGGATGGCCCAGGTCCTTGGGCCCTGCACCCGCACGGGAGACCAGGAGGAAGCGCCTGGCTCCTGGCTTCGGATTGGCGCAGAACGCCGGCCGCAACGCGCTGGCCGTAGCGGCCACTTGGGGGATGAATCAACGGAAAAAGGAAGACCTTTCTCTCTCTCTGTCTAACTCTGTCTGTCAAAAAAAAAAAAAAAAAAAAAAAAAAAAAAAAAAAAAGATACCATCAACTTGAAGGAGGAAGGAGGGACTTTTTTTAAAAAATATTTTTATTTATTTATTTGAAACTCAAAGTTACACAGAGAGAGAAGGAGAGGCAGAGAGAGAGAGAGGTCTTCCATCCATTGGTCCACTCCCCAATTGGCCACAATGGCTGGAGCTGCGCCGATCCAAAGCTAAGAGCCAGGAGCCTCCTCCTGGTCTCCCACGCGGGTGCAGGGGCCCAAGGACTTGGGCCATCAAATGCTGCTTTCCCAGGCCATAGCAGAGAGCTGGATCAGAAGTGGAATAGCCAGGTCTTGAACCATCACCCACATGGGATGCCGGCACTGCAGGTGGCAGCTTTACCACTACATCGCAGCGCTGGCCCTGGAATTTTCTATTTCTGCAAAAAGTTGCCATTGGGATTTAAAAAAGTTATTTATTTCAGAAAGAAAGAGAGAGAACATTCCCATCTACTGGTTCATTCCCCAAATACCCACAACAGCTGGGTTGATGAAACTGGAAGGCAGGAACTCAATCCAAATCTCTCACATGGGTGGCAGGAAGCCAACTACCTTGGGCTATCACCACCCCTTCTCAGGGATCACATTAGCAGAAACCTGGAGCCAGGGGCTGGGCACTGAAGCCAGGCATCTTGATATGGGATCTTAACTAGCAAACCAGACACCTGCTCCACATCACCGGGATTTTAACAGGAAGTGTACTGACTCTGTCGATCACTTTGGGTAATACTGACGTCTTGATAATGTTAAGTCTTTTTTTTTTTTTTTTTTTTTTGACAGACAGAGTGGATAGTGAGAGAGAGAGACAGAGAGAAAGGTCTTCCTTTTTGCCATTGGTTCACCCTCCAATGGCCACCACGGCTGGCGCGCTGCAGCCGGCGCAGCACGCTGATCCGAAGGCAGGAGCCAGGTACTTCTCCTGGTCTCCCATGCGGGTGC